ACACCACATTTGAAAATGCAAAACAGATTTTCTACTTGGTTAACATTACAAGCAGCCAACAGTCAATGTGGAAAAAAGGCAAGGCAGCAGAAGTGATAAGTCGATTATAAGCTTTATGGCGCAAAACTTCCAAACAGCATTGGGGAAACCTTGACCGAATTTCCTTTCATGCCGGGGAATCGCAGCCTGACACTGGCGAAATAGGAAACTGTTCAGTTAGTCACGCGCGCAAAATCTAGGAATTTGCTTTATAGTATAAATATCCCATATCCATTTAGGGCAAAGCTGATTACCCAAATCACATTAGCGCCACCACAGGTCTCTGAGTGCGCATCTCCGCCGCTATGCCTCAGCTCCCCTGCCACTGGCAGTATTTAGTAGCCGCCCTGGGAATGTGATCCGAAGGGCAGGGAACGAAGGTGTGCTGTATAATAAGAGCGGAACGATGCTCGGCCAGAGTGGTCCTATGGAAATGAGCGGCGTCTTTTAGCAAAGCAGACCTTTGGCTCCGAGGAGACAGGCAGGCTGCACCGCGGGGCCTAGTTGCTTCATTAAGTCCTTAGTGTGCTGTCACACTCATGCTGAGACCTCTGTGCTCGCCAGAAGGGCTGGAATGGCAACCCTGCCATGCCTCTCTTTCTGCCTGTCGAGTGACCAACATTGATGATGTCTTGGGTGTTGGCCTCTCCGACGTTCTACATCAGTGGTTCTCAAAGTGGGGGTTTGCGAGCAGGGCTCCTCAAATCTGAACCTCGATTCCGAATGCAGGCCTTGTTTTCAGTTCTCCCAGCTAGTTCGTTTAATAATTACTGATTCTGATTGGCCACAGAGGCTTTACACCCTGCTCACAAGTAAAGGAAGGCTGGAAAATCAGCAGGGCTCACACCGTAGGACCGTGATTTGAATAGCCCTGATTTGTGAATATTTGAATATGTAAATAATTGTTTTAATAGATTTTTAAAAATCTTAAAAGATGAAACAGTGATAAAATAATTAAAATGGTACGTGCGTGCTAATGTTTGCATTTTTCAACCACTTAGTGGGGGTCGTGAGTCTCTGACGCTATTATTTTGAGGGTTGCGGGCTGAAAAGTTTGGGAACCCACATCCCAGATGGCCCATGTAGTTACAAGTCTCTAACATTCTAGAAAGAAGCTATTACATACTATTTTTAACCACTCTGTTCTGAAAATAATATCATTACGATGTCCCTGCGGTATCTCTTTTCATTTAAAGCTCCATTTGCATCTTGAGTAGAAATGTATTTGCATGACACTGTATTTGTGTGGCTAATGCTCCTGCGTTTTCACTCACTGCACCAATGCCTACTGAGAAATCCAGGGATTCCTAATAGGAAAGAGCCCGGGGTGAAAGACAGAGCAGTCACCTTGACGGATTAAGGACACGTTCTCTCCAGAGGCAATCAGAACATCTTAAAACTAGAGTAACCGGTCTACTGTGATCGCGAGCATCGGAAGCATAGTATGTTTGAATTGAAAGCTGGAGTGTGTTGTATGTATTCATACAGTATCTGCGGCGTTCCCTTCAGTTTGAGCAGAATTTCTACAGAACGTGTGTCGCACGTTGTGAAGATACTTGTGAACTAACAGGACACAAGCAAGGTTGGCTTGCTGAACAAATGGAGTCCAAACATGACAGCCAAGCTTCTCGACTGAGGAATGATAGAACTTAACAGTTACTTCTCAGCCTTTCACTGCCCTGTTCCTGTAATATCCTGGCATGAGGCAAATTTCTGATTTTAATGACTTACTTGAGCCAGGCGTGATTCATGTGACTCACATAACTAAGCAGCCTCAAAAGAGGGCAACGAAGAACCGTCTCTATGTCAGTTCCACCTGCTGTTTCCTGTACATAGAACTACAATGCATAGGCAAGTGTCAATATTTTTTTAACACATCATACTGCAGTGATTCATGAGATGTAAACACCCACATGAAGCACAACATGGACAAATAAAGGCTGCATCTAATTAAACGTGTGTGGGTTTTCCGTAATAGAGACGTTCTGGGTGTGCATGCTCCTCAAAGCAAAGCAGCGCAGTTATTTAAGGCGTGCTTCACGTGAAGAGGAACGGGCAACTCCTGACTAGCAGAGCACTGCCCCGCAAATGGAAAGCAACAAAACTGCCACTGGGAATGGAACATTTAACTGGTTAATTAATACTAGGTTGGGAGAGTGTATCATGGTGCAGTGGAGACATGCTGATGGCATTAAGAGACACTTGCAGTGATCTCACTGGAGGCACTTGTTTGCCTTATTTCTAATTTTTAGGGTTTCTCCTAAGTACCCAAAAAGCTAGATTGCATTAAAAGATTTTACGCATGAGCGCACTATTTTTGGAGAGTTTTATTAACACATTTTTATGCATTTTTATGCAAGCAGGTGGCTCTCGTGAGGCTAGATGGAATGAGGCAGACATTTCTGATGTTTTATGATACAATAGTACATTTAAAAATTCTGTAATGCTTTACATTAACTGCACCTTCATAATGCCTTTGTAATGCATTTATAGAACATTCAGTGCACCTTCATAATGGCTTTATAATGCATTCATAGAACATTCAGTGCATTCACAAGACATTCATAATCAGCATGTATGTATACTTTAACATCCTAATATACCTTAAGAGCTATAATATACATTAACAAATATCATATTATTATACAATTATAATGTTTGTTATCGTATAATGTTTGTTACCAATGTATATTAAAGCTGCTAAAACTGTTATAATGTTATGGCATACTTACATGCATGCATTATGATGATGCGGTCAATGTTCTACGAATGCATTATAAAGGCATTATGAAGGTGCAGCGTTATATTATAAAGCTTTACCAAAAAGGTGGCCATCTAATTCAGAGAAGTCTACATGATGAAGAATACCATGCATTTCCTCTGCTTTTATGACTCCTTAGTGTGTCTATCATAGAAGACAATTAAATGAAGATAAGTAGGGCAACAGGTTTGTTTTACACTGATTAATGTGAATCATAATGACCACAGCATGGAGAAATCCCAGCAAGACAAATTGCCCTTAAACTTTATATTAACCGAATCATAGCAGTAAGTAAAAGCACTGTGGAGAAGTTGTGGAGAAAAGAAAGTAATTCAAATGCTGGCTGCCTCTTAGAGCCAACGGCAAAAATCCAGGTAAACAATTCAAGGCAGAAAAAAATAAATAAAAACACGTGCCTGAAGCTTTTCTCTTGGATGTTTGTTGCGTCTGGCCATTGCCTGAGGATACCAAAGGCAAGCTCTCGATGCTTTAGCTTTCTGTTTTTGAGGGAAAGGGTATTTAATATGGATAAAGCTTTTATGCTGTGCCCCAGTCCTTAGAGAATCATTCCAGTCAGGGATTGCCAACCTGTCCATACATGGACAAATATTCTGTTGCAAGACTGTTCCATGTCCATAACAAAACATTTTGATTGAGTAAAGAAGACAACGTCTGAGTCTGAATTCAGGGGCTGCATCCTTCTAAGGCTGCATCACGGCTGTCCCATTTCGAAGGCTCCGTCAAATGCAGTCTAGAAATGCATCCTTCTTTTCCGGGTCTGCTAAGGATGCGGCAGATGGATCCTTTGCAGCCCAACGTATCCCAAGATTTATTGCACAGAGATAAAGACGGTGTTTCCCGGCTAGGCGATAGGGGCAGTGCTTTGTGACTCAAGGGTAAGGGCGGGAACAGCTGGTGACATAAATAGGAAATTATCCGTAGGCCAGACCGTCCCATTTGACAACATAGATCATGTCCATTGAAGGATGCAGCCCCTGAATTTGGACACGTTTTTAAAGACCGTGTCTGTGGTAAAAATTGCATTTTGATCCCCGGATAAGCTGCTGTTCAAAGATACTATGAAGACGACATACCTGTGAGCATTGGCACTGAATAGTCCTTTTAAAATACGAGTGAGAACAAGTGAGGCCTAAATTATTAAACCCTTTTGGTGACTTATATTTCACTTGCACATGTTCCGATATCCATAAATCGTCCAGTATGTTTGCAGTTAGTGTGAAATGTTATACTTACGCATTTATAGGATAAACTTATTTAATGTGACAGGTTTGCTGACAACAAACCAGGTGAAATTTTAAACCACAACACGCAGAAAGTGTAATAAATAACAGTGAAGGGGGATGCCGAAGAAGGCAGACAGGCAAGAAAATTAGTGAAACTGGTGAGGTATGTATAATTTAAAGTTCTTTGCAAGCTGCTACTGGTCAGTGCTCAAGCAGTATTCTCTGGACAAATGTGTTTGTATGTTTTAAATGCTGTCAACTGCAGTTACCTGTAGTTAGTCCTTCTGAGTTGCCTAAAGTTCCTTTTATATGCAAACATTTTTCTGTTCGCTTGTTCTTATATCAATTAAGAAAGAAAATTAGAGGAGAGCAAGGCTTCAAAGACTTCACTGTTCGTAGAATTTTAAAAAGGTTCTTTCCCCATAATTCAAATGTATTCAATCAGCAAAAAACATATGCTTCTTGTTGTCCTCTAAAAGATAACATTCTGACGTTTTCCCTTTAACAAAATTCTTCGTGAAAGAACTCTTAGCTCAAAGGGAGTTGGAATGTTTCTTGTTTGTCCATCCCATAAAAAAACTGAAACAGAAGGATCAAAAAGACCCACAGACTATGTTTTTGTTCCCTCCCAGCTCCCTGCCAGACATTCCACATTTTTGCTCCCTCCCAGCTCCCTGCCAGACATTCCACATTTTTGCTCCCCCCCAGCTCCCTGCCAGACGGCCTATGTTTTTGCTCCCTCCTAGCTCCCTGCCAGACAGTGTATGTTTTTGCTCCCTGCCAGACAGTCCACATTTTTCTTTCCTCCCAGCACCGTACTGGGAACAAAAACATAGACTGTCTGCGGCTCCCCAAGGACCGGATTGGGAACACTACTTTACAGCATAGACACACAACAACTAAACTAGTGGTATTCTAGTCAACACGGAGACACTCACCTCAGTTCTACCCTACAGGTTGTGGCTCTCGGGAAGAACAGCCGTGGTTACCACTACATTCTGGCCAACTTGGTGAGTAACATACTTTCTGTATTCCCACCTAAAGACAACTTTTTAAAGCACCATTACTCCATTTTTTTAATGGTATTGATTTTTTGAGTCTGCCGTAGCCTCGTGATTTAACACCCTTGTTCTGCAAGGGTTTTTTTTTTATATTTCTGGAAATTATAGGCAAAACACCACATTTTGCCCTTGTTTGCAGCATAGAATTGTACCCGAGGATTTGTACTGATAAGCAAGTTCAGCAAGTGATATGTGTGCCTGTTCTCAAGTCTGCCAAACAATACAGTATAAAAATATCGGTGAATACAAAAAGAAGCATTCCCAAAAAAACACTTCTCTACCTAGACATCTCTGAATTTCTTCTTTTTCTTGGGTTCCAGGGTTTTTCCAACATTAGTCTGGACAAGGTCTTCCTCGGCGGGGCGAACATTACCGGCTTTCAGATAATAAACCCCGAAAATCCCATTGTGCAGCAGTTTCTCCAGCGCTGGGACCGGCTGGACGAAAGGGAATTCCCCGAGGCCAGGAACACACCCCTGAAGGTGAGTCTTTGATAGCCATGCAAGCCTGGGTGACTTTCCCAAGGATTCTCCCTATCAATAAGGAGATTATTACATGGAGGTCATTCTGGAGCTTAACCACATGCCTAATTACAAGGTATTCAACAAAATAAATCAGTGACATTCCATTAATTAAAATAAACGCCATTATTCATTTTCCCACCGTATTTCAAATGTGCTTTTGTCAGTTGCTATTCTCACATTTATAGCACCTTTTAGTATCACACAGCTATAAGCAAATGATTAATAACATACAAAACAGATAAAGATCCAGTTGTCAGTGGTTCCCAGAACCTTGATATGGCTCATAAAAATTAACAGCTAGTAATTGACTGACTCTGAATCCATAACTATAATGGATTTTGTGAACAAGGACTTCAGAAGTTAGGAGGAAGAAATATGTCTTGATTACTCACATTGGAACAGAGCAGAGTCGCTTTACTGAAGCATACCTGCCGATTTCCCCATGTGTCTCCCGATTTCCCTCCCTACTGGACGTACCATTTCTCTCGATAAATTATGGATTATCTAGGCACACCCCCCCCCACAGCACTCAGCAAAAGGACTACCTTTCTTCTACACTTCTACACTTAAGAATGCATAGTCAATGGAGAACCATAGTCGATTTTCTGTGGTCATTGTAGAGTGGCGTCCCTCACCTCCGTGCAAGTCTGTGGACAGTATTCCACCAGCCCACAGGACATTGGGTTTTAGGGGGGGTTGGTTAATTTCCAAAAATAAACTATATACTTTCAACATTCACACGTTCACAACGTTATGTTCACATCTAAAAACATGTAAATGGTTAAACTTATGAAATCAGCGATCGATCTGCCGGCACCCCCCCATACCCCCACCAGTTTTTTTTACCAATCTGTAAAATTTTTGTGTGACAGACACCAGTCTGCAGACACCTAAAGGCTGGCAATGTGACCCTAGTTGTAACATATCTGAAAGAAAAACAATTCGTAATTTTAGTACTCTTCTATTATAACGATGTTTATGGGTCTAGCTGTACAAAAACTGCCAAATGTAGGTAGAAATTTCCCTCTGGGGATCTATAAAATGCCGTTGTACTCTCTTTTTCACAAAGAAAATAATCATCCTTGAGCCATAGTGTTTATCCTCAAAAAACATTAAAGGGTTTAAAATAAACGTTTCCTTCTGTACAAGCATCATAAGAATACCTTTTCGAACATAAAAACTCCGCGACAGATGTTTCCCTCTTTAAAAACTTGACTAATGTTATGCAAATTTGACTGACTTCAAACGATGCAGACCCATCAAGAGAAACGAAAAATATAGGCAGAAACTTTTGTAATTCCTCTAGAAGTTGCTCTGTAGACGTAAACACATAGCGTGCGACCTGAAATACATGCTGAAGGTCTGGTATGCATCAGCTGGACTTCTAAGGGTGAAATTAGCATTTCTCCTGAATGGATGAATGGAGTTTTTAACAGCCGAAGATAATGTATACCATTGCTCTTACTCTCTAGTGAAATGTGCGGGGAGCCGCCTCTGACAGCCGGCTTTATTTTTCATGTAATTTTTCCCAAGCGGAGCAATTAATCTGTTTTCAGCTGCTGTCACTGTTTCATAGCCCTTAGATTTAACATTTTAAGAGACCGACGCAAGACAGCAAGACGTGTTTCCTCCTACAAAATGAAACCTCCTCGAGCCTCACTCCGAATGCTGGAAATGTATCTGAACTGCTGAGACCGTCAGCAGAATTTTTATTCTAGCACCCACTGAGTCAGTGCTATTGTACAGCCGTGTCCACTGCTGTGATGCAGAATCTTTCCCTGCTTTCATCACTGGGCATCCGCAATATTCCTTCCTTTTATGTGTAAATATTCCCTCAGACAGACTTTAATACAAGCTAAGCAGCACCTAAAACAATTTAAAATACTCAAGAACTTAGTTGATTTAGGGAATTTTATACTTAAGATTATTTTTTCATAAAGGCTTGTTTTTTGTTTTATCCAGTGACTAATTTCCTGTTTTATCCAGTGACTAATCTGTGCAATTTGGCTGCCTCTGATAAAACAGACCATAGAATAAATACTGAGGGGAAAAAATTAAATGAAAAGCGTGTCCCACTCTCTGATGAAAGAAACTGAAATATCGAGTAGAGGGAGACTGTTCTGCATGGAGAGCGTGCAGCAGCTGAGGCGTCGTGCCGTGCATGTTGCAGTACACGTCAGCGCTAACCCACGATGCTGTGCTGGTGATCGCCGAGGCCTTCCGGTACCTGCGGCGCCAGCGGGTGGATGTGTCCCGGAGAGGCAGCGCCGGGGACTGCCTGGCAAACCCCGCCGTGCCCTGGAGCCAGGGCATTGATATCGAACGGGCCCTCAAAATGGTAAGGGCCCGCTTCCATGTCCACACTTGCCACTTTCTGGCCATCCCGACTTCCAGAATTGAATGGATGCAAGATCTAATACAGTTTTTCTCAACCCAGTCCTCTGGGACCCCCTGACCACGTTTTTGCTCTCTCCCAGCTCCCTGCCAGATAGTCCACATTTTTGCTCCCTGCCAGACAGTCCATGTTTTTGCTCCCTCCCAGCTCCCTGCCAGATAGTCCACATTTTTCCTCCCTTCCAGCTATGTGCCAGACAGTCCACGTTTTTGCTCCCTCCCAGCACCCTGCCAGACAGTCGACTTTTTTTTTCCCTCCCAGCTATGTGCCAGACAGTCCACGTTTTTGCTCCCTCCCAGCTATCTGCCAGACAATCCAAGTTTTTGCTCCCTCCCAAAAACCAAGAACCAGTTTGAGAAACATTACCCAAATAGACACAGATTCCCAACTTTTCTTGCTGGCTGTCTTAGTCAAACCACAGCATATAAAAAAAAATAATTTTAGCTCTTGCATAAAGCCCCTTTCCCACTTACTACTAACGGTGTTGCCAGTTTGCAGTGGGCGAGAGCACAATGCCTGAGCTGTCCTCAGCGTTTTTCTGTGTTACCACCCGGCAGGTCCAAGTTCAAGGCATGACTGGAAACATCCAGTTCGACAGCTTTGGCCGGCGATCGAATTACACCATCGATGTTTACGAGATGAAAACAGGTGGGCCGCGAAAGGTAAGCGGCCGTCAGCCGTGCCGCGGAAGGAGTGCGCCTCCTACCTCTGCGTGGGGGGGAGCACTTGAATTAGGAGCAGAACATCATCACCGTAAAAAAAGGCTCAATGCATGAGCCGCTTCAGCAAACAGCCTTGAGAACACAGACTGGAACATGGCTGAAAGTCAGAACAGAGGAGCAGTTTCTGCTCCGTCTTAATCAGCTTCCAGAATAAAACCTCGTATTGGCCTTGATTTCATTGCAGCATAGCGCTGAGTACCTGCGTACGAATGTAACATTTATTTTTGGAACTGTTTTGCATGAATTAAATCTTTAAAAAAACTGTGCGTAGGCGGTCTGGTTGGCTTGGGTTCCTTTGTACGAGTACTATGACACCTGAGGCCATATTCTGAATGGCTCACGGGAGACGGGGAAGTTTGGGGCCGTTTGTAAGGCAGAACGCAGCCGTCTGCACAGCAGAGCCATTCCTCACCAATTAGCACCCTTTCCCGGGAGAGCCAGCCAATCAGAGTCAGCGCCTCGTCAAGCCTGGCTCGCATGGGGGACACAGGGGGGTGCGTGAGGCTCCCCCTCCTATGCCCTAGAGACGCTAATGCGTAGCCCCCTCCCTTACCCTGTGGCAGGACTATTATCAGCACCCATCCCATTACAGGGATCGCGCTGCTACAAATGTAGCCGTGCTGATAGCCATTTATACAGCAATCTGTACTATTAAGGGCTCAGTCACTGCTGAATTAGACCAGGGAAAAGTAACATATTCCCATGTACATTAATTATTGGTAGATTTTCTACACGGGCACAACCACCGCTGCTGGGTGATATTGCACTCTCGCGGCTCATAAATGGTGTCGTCTGCTCCTCTGCGGAAAAGGGAGTCCGGCAGGCATGGGGCAGTGTCACAAACACCGTCATTATCCCACCACACCACGAGTCGTCCCGAGGTAGACATCAGCAGGCAGGAAGACGAAAACTCCATTAGCAATGATTCGGATGCACCGCAGGAAGCGGCGTGCCTCCTATTTAAAAATAAATATGAGGTCAGCTGACCCTATAGGCCCATCCCTTATCCTCCTCCCGGACATATCTATGCTTTCCAGGCGGTAACCATAACAAAACTAGAGCTGCTCCTAGAATTATGACATCATTATTCGTGCCTCCACTCAGCTGACAATTATAGAAAAGAAAAAAAATGGAACTGTTACTGATAATAACAATTATGTTTGTCACTTTCAGATCGGGTACTGGAACGAGTTTGAAAGATTTGTAAATATTATGGATCAGCAGGTCACCAACGAGTCTTCTGTGGAAAACCGAACAATTGTGGTCACTACTATTATGGTACACTTTCCATGCTGTTTAAATGTTTCACTAATTCTGCCACTCAAGGTCAAGGTGTTGATTCCAAGATGGATGCATTCTGTCCTGGGCGGGTAGAAAAATGTCTTTTTATATGTTGCTTTCCACCCACTCACTACATTTTGAAACAGTCGACACAAAGAGTGTTTCAACTGTATCAGTGTGGGTGACAAAGCATTTTGATTCTCCATACCTCAGTGGCCTGTTGTAGCAGTGACATCACAATAACGGCTTTTGGTAATGTAATGGTAGGGTATACTCCATCAAATAGACAGAGTTCATACGTAAGTAAACCTTCTCTTCTCATTAAGTAAATGGTCAATGACACTTGGGGTAAATTAACAAGCAAAAAAAAAAACTAAAATATATATATATATATTTATATATACATCCAATGGTTTCCTTCTCGCAATGCAAAATATCCAGTGAGGGTATAAATAACTTAAGACCTTCGGGTTTTAGTATTTATGCTCTTACTCAGAGTTGCTTTGCATTACTCTGGGGAAGGGTTCTGTGCTCAAGTATGACTATCTCCACGGATACCCGCTGGTGTGTCAGAAATAATTGGTCCTCGTTAAATATGTGGGGAAATCTTAAACTTGGGCAAATAATATGGGTCATTTTTAAATGTAAAATAAAGGTTCTCTTTATCTTACCTTTAATATACTGGCTCCTAAATATTTGCCTTTCTGACTCTGCCTAAAATGACCTTGTTTTAGGCAGATTCAAGCTACTAAAAATTCACAGTATAAATTTGTGAAATTTGTCAAATGCATCTGAGACCAGAATAACGGAGCGTGGTGTGCAGACACGATTGTTTATGTACTTTTCCACATGATCTCCAAGCGGTTTTCCTTTGGAGTGCAGGTGATGATTAAAAACCCTTTCGTACACTCCAATGGCAAATAAACACCAGTGAACTCGCGAGGGAGCATTTTTCATTTCAATGGAGGTAAAAGGATACATTCAGCACAGAACAAATAAACCATTGAAGACCCACTAGCATCCCATTGTCCCTGGTTCTTATAGGGATGTGTTTTCTCTGTGAGCAGATCTTTTGTATGGTCATGATGTTGAAAAAAAAAAAAAAAGAAAAAAAGCACGTACAATCCTGGCATATTCTGTATGTAAGAAATTTGCGTTTTGGACTATGGTGAGTTTATTTTTTTTTCTTTACTGGGAATGTGGCAGCCTCCTTGCGCATTTGTGCAACGTGCCTGGCAATGTTCGGATGCTAGCAGCACTGTCTGATCCCTCTCCAGTCACTGCCATTTACTTTATGAACTGGAAAGTAACCCTAAACCGACGCACAACAAATGCAGTTTCAAAGGGCTGGCTTGAGGGATTATGGGAGAGGCCACCTGACTACTCATCTGGCTGTGCGGCTGAAATGGGGAAAATCGATGCATTTGCTTGTGAATCGGACCCCCCCTCCCCTCCCCCAACCACCACCACTTCTAACCCTAACCCCCCAAGTCCCCATGGCAGGGTTCTTCGTTTGTGAGCTATACCGTCTCTCCTGTGACACTCCCTGTGGGTTCTGTTGTTGTCTGCAGTGGTCAGAGCATGCAAGCATGCAGCCCAAGGTCGGAGGGCTCTGTTGATTAGACTGTGCTGTATGTGTGTGTGCCTGAGCATGTGTGACCATGACTTGGAATGTGTTTAATTAACAGGAAGCGCCGTACGTGATGTTCAAGAAAAACCACATGCATCTGGAAGGGAATGACAAGTATGAAGGCTATTGTGTCGATTTAGCTTCCGAAATTGCAAAACACGTGGGGATAAAATACAAACTGTCCATTGTAATGGATGGAAAGTATGGTGCAAGGGATCCTGAGACCAAAACGTGGAACGGGATGGTGGGTGAACTTGTGTATGGGGTAAGTAATGTGTGAAAAACACCTTCTGCTAACCTGTGACACGTCTGATCCCTCAGCCACAAAGGAACAAGCTTAGCTAAGACCAGAAGGTGAAATTATGGTATATGGAAAAGATTAAGACATTGTTTCCCAACCCGGTCCTTGGTGACCTAGAGACAGTCCAAGTTTTTGCCCCCTCCCAGCTCTCTACTGGTGCTGGGACTGTCTGGGTGGGAGCAAAAACGTGGACCATTTCGGGGGGGCGGGGGGCGAAGACCGGTTTGGGAAACACTAGATTACGGAAAACTGGTCATGTTTGAAGGAGATCAGGCTACAAATGTATGTAAAAATCAAACAACAAATTGCCCATTTGCGCATGCAGCATACAGCACTACACTGAAATATACTACGTTCCTCAGAGAATGCCTGCTGAAACCCATCTGTTTCTGGCCCTTAGTAGGGTGTGTTTTCCTCAGAAGTGCAATCTGTTAGTAGGGTCAAATGCAGACTTAGACAGTTTGCATGATTTGATGATGTCACAAGTAATTATTCTGTGGAGCATATGCTATTAATAAAGGAGCTCTGTTTTTTAAGGCAGGTTCAAAAAACTGCATCCCATTTGTGGAAGAGCAAATTTTCAGAAACACTAAGTATGAATTCTGGAATTTATTTCCTCTTTTCCGTGCTCAGAATGGCGGAGTAGGAACATATACAAAATGTATGAGGACTGGGCCTCCTCATCTGTTCAATTTCCTAACCATCACCCTGAAAGATTGCCCAGTTTGATTTGCTAACCTTAGAAAATTATCCTATAAATTGGAAAACTCCACTCCACGCAGATAAAGAGGAAAAAATCTCCTCATCAACCATCCAGACAGTGTCTGAAATGACTACATCCATCCATATTTTTTGCACAATAGACGGAAAGCCCAAATGATTCTCCTGGATTTTGACCTTTTGACCAGTGCATTAATTGGATTTTAGTAATCTCTTAAAGGTTTGATATTTAATTTAAGTGTCCAAAGAGTGCCCTTTAGTGCACTATTTACGCCAGTATTGATTGATCATTTTCCGAGCCCCTCATTACATTTAAATGGCTGTAACAACATAACAATCTTGTTGTCAGTACCGTTATAAGAGAAAAATACTTATTGTTGGTCATTGCTACTTTTTGTACGTTATGTTCTTGTGGAAGTGTGCGTGTGTCTGTAGGAAGCGGTTTGATAAATTCCAGCTCTACCTACTAGCTGTAGGGACGTTTTGTGCATTTTCCTGACTTTTGAGCTCACAAAATGCTCAAAATGGGGAGGACAAGAAAAATCTTTCTTCTGCCACAAGTTCCATTTTGGCAGAAATGTCTTGACTGATAAAAAGCGGAGAGAATGGCGAAGTAGGCATGTCAAGTGGGCTGCTGTGACAGCGACACAACAAATAAAGAAAGATGATCATACAATACTATTCATAATTCCACTATGAGCTGCAAGAGACATTTCTGCTTTAGCAATAAATCACTTAGATCACTAATTAGCTATTTATATGCAAATGATTCAGTGATATATTGACATGACGCCAGTGAGAGTTACATCAAAAACAAGAAAAAACAACGGCTAAGCTGTTTTTCCTGTTCCATCATAGCTTTCTCCTTCCACAATATTTCTCACTGAATGATCCGATAATAATGCAATCGTTACAAGATCCAATAGATAGTGGCTTCAACTGCACCACCAAAGGATGATTTTGCATTTGCAGTTTCCCCATTGTAAAAATCAGAACAAACTAGCATTTCTGTCCTTTTGTGTGGATCACAGTGGGTGGTTGATGATTCGTCCAGTTCCCATTTCACTAGCATCTACTCTCTTTGTAGTAGCATTCACGGAGATCTTTTTCCTCGAATAAACATCACCATTGAAGTGATGTTTTTAGTAATCTGATATTAAATCAGGAACATACACAATGGATTTTGACAATGAGGTTATATGACTTCTACACGTTACAAAGAACATAAATTTGACTCCCATCTTAATGAAATGTTTCGGGTTTCTGTTAGACTGATTTTATTTTCATAAAAGGATGACCCAGTATCCATTTCAGTGTGCCTAACACATCTGTATGTGGACAACATTTTAAAAGATGAGATTAAATTTATATATAACAATAATATTTTAGGGGTGAAATTACACAGATGTGAAATGTTCATGAGAAACCTAGCATCATAAGAGTAATACGACAGATGCTGCATAGGGTTTTTACCACCAAAGATGTGGTCAAGTGACTTAGGAAAAGTACAACATTGTTCCCTCAGAACCGTGCCATAGATCTTGTTGGTCCGCCTGTCTACAAATGACTTTGATTGAGGTAAAAAAGATTATGTCTCGGGAAACTACTTCTAGCTGTCTCGATCTTATTGTTATTGATTGTGTTTTGAAAACCATGCCTTGAACTTTCATTTTAATGAGAATGATTAGTGGGAAACAGGCTCTCTGGAATAATCAGTGTGCTTTGTTCATGAAAAATTAAGGGATTTTTTTTTCATTGAACTGAGATTTTAACCATATTAATACAAGATCTAATGTCTCATGTCCAGTGTAAAATTAAGACAGTTCAAATGCATCAAAGAAAAAAATTCAGAGGGATTGATAAAATCTGCTGAATTTGATAACTAACATGTACCATGTTCCCATTTCCAGAGAGCAGATATAGCTGTTGCACCACTAACTATAACGCTGGTTCGAGAAGAAGTCATTGACTTTTCTAAGCCTTTTATGAGCTTGGGGATCTCCATTATGATAAAGAAGCCCCAAAAGTCCAAACCTGGAGTATTTTCCTTCCTCGACCCCTTGGCCTACGAAATTTGGATGTGTATAGTGTTTGCCTATATCGGAGTCAGTGTGGTCCTTTTCCTGGTCAGCCGCTTCAGCCCTTATGAGTGGCATCTGGATGAAAACGATGAAGCCAAAGACCCACAGACCCCTCCGGACCCACCAAATGACTTTGGGATATTTAATAGTCTCTGGTTCTCCCTGGGAGCCTTTATGCAGCAAGGATGTGATATTTCACCAAGGTCAGTTACCTCGCCAATGCGCATCGGGCACTGTGTGGTCACACTAATGCCATCATTATCCAATATGCTTAATGTCCAGTGCTGTGAACTGCTGTCTGTGAAGGAACCTCCATCCTCAATGCTGAGGGTGGCACAATTGTTTACTTTATCGTTCCTTCTTATTACTGGAAATTGGCCTAATGGATGAAGCCCTTGAGATGTCTACACTGTATTTATGGCATCTGATTATCTTCAAGCTTCTGTCTTTGATATTATGCTTGATTCATCCCTCGGTCCATCTATTCATTAATCAGTCAGTATGGGAAAAGCCGGCTTATCGGTTAGGTTATTGGGTCCCCATTGCAGCAGGATACCAAACAATTAGGGGCCCTCCATAGCCCTGGTCCTTATAGATTACTTGCTACAAGTATCCTACGTTCCTGTGTGGAAGCAATCACTGGCAGACCATGGGAAGTCTCAGTGTAAATGAAAGGTTGATGAATATGCTGATGAGCACGACGGTGAAAGTGAATAATGACTCGATAATGTCATTTGCCATGTTTGACTTAAGGGGTGACAATGGACAACAAAACCATTCTTTTAATTAAAGTAAGATGTTCAAACCTCTTATTCTGTCCAATGGAAAACTGGAACTGACAAGACTTCACACATTATACAGGCTCACTAAGTAAATTGCTTATGTGGATTAAAGTGACTCAGAAGGAGTGTGCGCTTACATAACTTTTCCATTCAATTTTGTGCAAAAGTGGGGGGAACCAGTGATCCATTCAGATAGGTTAGAGATTAATGGGGGTGGGTTTTCCACAGCTCGCAGGTTAGCGAACATCACACAAGGCATGCCAAACAACTTCAGTTTCTAAGAGGGAAGCTCACTATCACAATCATTGTCATTATAAGTTCATCATTTTTTTTCTTTATGACACATACATGTGTAGAGGTAAGTGGCGAATTAAAATGCATCAAGGCTGTTGACAAGCTTGTCTCACAAAGATCTTCCAAGATCTAAGGAACAAGAAATTTAAACAAGTGCGATCAGTGTCATTTTCCGAAGAGTCCTCTAATAATATCTGTTAGAGTGTAAATACCGTATTTACATCATGCTGTTTTAGCTGTTTTTTGCAAGGTAATACAGAAGTAAACACTGCGATTATTTGCCATTTCCCTCAACTTTTCCCCTGTTCGAAGTTCTATTAGCAGTCTAGTGTGTACACAAGCACACAATGCTGTCCTTAATTCGTTTCGAAATCAAGTTCTAATGTTGTTGCTAATTCTTTGCTAAGCCCTCTGGGGGTTCTGTCTGGGGAGGGGCACTATATAAAAATAAACTAAGTGAGCAAGTAATTGGATTCTAAAGCATAAATTGGTCTCTGGTGGTTAGGCTTTATGTAAATAAGTATGTTTAGTCTCAGCAATGAACAAAATTTAATCAATACATTTGAATATGTTCTATCAATAGGATATATTGAGCTAATATTTCATAGTCCAACAAATACGGTATGTTTTATTTTTATAACATAATATTTTCCCAAATAAAGCATGTATACCAAAAACACCTTTAAAAAAACATAAAACTTGGATTATTATTATTTAAAGTTACTAGTACACTGTATGTAAACTATTTACTCAAAAGGTGAGTAATGTTTTCCCCGTCATTGCTGCCTCAAAAGACAAAGTATCCAAAAGATGACCCTGAGACCTTCAATTTGCACATGTTTTGAGGTTGGACTTGTGGTTATTTGGAAGGAAAAGCACAAACAAGTCCATCTTGCAAATTTAGCAAGTTAATGACATTAAGCTGCAGCCCCAAGGACCAATTAACAATATACTCCAGAGGGTTAATGAGGATTATAGACACAACTGAAGCAACAGGTACAAATGATGGCAGTATCCCATAATTATTAAACACACTAAAGTCGTATCAGTCTGGAACGCTGGATCTGATTGGGTCTTTTTGTGCAGTGCTGGAGGACATCCCCATTAATGAGCCATCCTTTTCTTCTCTCTCTCCATTTGTCTCAGGTCTTTGTCGGGGAGGATAGTGGGCGGAGTCTGGTGGTTCTTCACCCTCATCATCATTTCGTCCTATACGGCCAACCTGGCTGCCTTCCTCACGGTGGAGAGGATGGTCTCCCCCATCGAAAGCGCAGAGGATCTTGCCAAACAAACGGAGATTGCATACGGAACCCTCGACTCAGGCTCCACCAAAGAGTTCTTTAGAGTGAGTTTCAAACACCATCACTTTATGTGTTGGCAAAATCAGTAGAATAGCTTACTTATTAAGAGTCAGTTATGGTATCATTAGCTTGAATTGAAATAACCTACTGGATAAAGGTAGAGCATACTCAGAGGTGGATAGTTCAGGTCCAGAAAGGAAAACTCCAGACCAAGATTTTGTTTCAACCAACCAGAATAAAGAGTCACGTTCACAGAGTACTCAACTGGTTGGTTGAAACAAAATCTTGGTCTGGATTTGTACTTTCTGGACTTGAACTATTCACATACTAGGAAAGCAACATGAGAAAAAATGGGGTGTGGCTTTTAAAACGAATGAAGAACAATGACTGGGCCCTAATATGTAATCATACCAAAGAAACATCTATGTCCGTTATGAAATATTCAACTGCTGTCAAAAAAAATGCCCTAACAGAATTGAACTAAATGTAAAAAGATTAAAGAAAACCATATTTATTACCTCAGTTCTACCGGAGATCTAATGTATGACACATAAGTATTAACACTCAGGCTTCAGGTACACATTTATCAACATCATTTTTCTACTCCTGTTTTGTAGGCAATATGAAAGCCAAGCTATTTATTTAACCTTTGTATATTATAATTTTTTCTTTTAGGGTTTATTTAAAAAAATTGAAGTGCACATTAAAGAAGATAAGTGGTGATCAAAAGGCTCATGCTTCTTAACACCCCAACTGATTCAAAATATAATTAAAACGAGGTCTGATAAACAGGACCCCTGACGGCTAAATACTAAATCTGAAAAGCATGCCAGATGAATTAAGGATGATGTTGCTTGGTACATGGGAGATGACACTGCAACTTATTAAAGATTTATTGCCTGCATCATCTTTCCTATTAGAATGGACAGATGATGGACAGCAGGAACTTGTAGTAAACAGCAACACGGTGGGGAAGAAAAATCATGTGCTGCATATTATGTGCTCTGCAGAAAGACTCTTTACTTTCGCAGAGTCAGTTAATGGTTTGTTTCCCTGATTGACATGTGCTGTTTCGCCGTGTAGCCAAAGGTTTGCAGCAGAGGTAATTGAAAGATGGTTAGAGACTCACACATTTCACATATACTACATAATGAGTGTCCTAGTTATACTCTCAGCCTTCAAATTGGGAATGACGTGTGCAAGTTGCTATTCCAGGGGAGTTTTAATTAACGCTGTAGATGGCTGACGAGGAAAAGAAATACTGATTAATAGGGGTTCAAGTTCTATTTTAAATCTGTTCTTCAGGAAAGACATTCTGGTTTAATTAGACCCATACGGCACAAAGCAGCTGGAAATTTTAAAATCAAACACAGCCCTTGCCTCTGATATGAAATTTGTCTTCAGCTTTTACATATTCATCTCACTTTTAAATATCCTCACAGGTGTAGGCTGATCTTCGAGTTAATTGCGATAAAAAAAATACCAGAACAAGCATTCTTATTCTAGTTGTCCTGTGTCTAAAACTGTCAGACTTCTCGGAAAAATAAATTGCAGTTTACAGATACACACCCAAATATGACTTTCTGTAGGGTTCTTGTGGTGTTCGGAGAAAACCCACCGGTACTTTCTGCTCTCTCATTTATGAAATTACTGATTGCGCCCAGGACATTATTTCCAGTAAGCCTGAGCTCTTCCGACAACATAAACGAAATTACACTGCCGATGACTAATGTGTTGTGCTGGAAAGGGCAGTCAGCCTGAAGTCTAAATCACTGTGATAATGGCAAACAAAACTGAACGCACTAACTGAAGTAAGGTCTAAACACAGACAGTTGTAAGCCAAATAGAGCACACGTTCTAAGACAGATCCAGCTTGTGTTCAGGTCATATCAGTCTAAGTTGTGGCAGTAGGGTTCAGGGTTGATGGGTCCCTTCATTGGGTCTCAAGACTATCAAACTGATCAGTCACATTTTAATATTTTCTCTTTTACACTATTTTGTGTGAGTGGCCGTGACACTATGGTGATTGGGTATTTGTTAAATTTTACAACAGTGTGGTGCTTGTAACTAAACATTTTGTTTACCCATTAGATAGCTCTTCACAAGGCATAAAGGGCTCCAGAATATACATGTTCAAAGTGTTGAACTTCGTAAGTAAGGTGGAAGGCTGTTAGCGCCTCTGGTCTCTTCGGTGTAAAAGCGCCACGGGAGAATGAGAACAGGCATTCGGATTCCGAGCCCTGCTACTGCAGCGCCTCAGTTGCATCTGAATCTCTGCAAGCCCAGAAATTTCTTAGTAGTTGAAAGGTACAACCCAGAATATCCTTATTTCCTGACCGCTTTGATCTCATTATTTAATCTACCGTGCACACCATCAAATTAATACATTAGTGACAGTGGAACACTTAATTTGACTGACGCTTATGGCCACAGTATAAAGGATGGATATGAGACAGAGAATGGGAGGCGTTTAAAAACGCCTAGCAGGGAAACTCGAAATGCCTGCCACAGTTCAAAATAATATTATAAAAACGAGCAAATCTAATATGACCCAGTGTATAAATTCAATTTACACAGAGCAGGTACCTGTCATATTGTATTAAAGTAATTTTGAAGCAGTGGAAACGCTATGCTGAAGGTGAACCAGTGGACAGGCATGATGCGCTGATTCTCTCTCTTAAATTCTGTTTCATTGACTTGATTGACTGCAGGCCCCGGTTACAATGTCCCGTTTGACGCCTGCTTTATAATCTTCGACACGTGTTTGCTGGAAGGGCCAAACCCGTGACATTTAAAGCACCTGCCGTGGCATTTCCTGCGGAATCCCGACGAGTCCCCGTCCACAAAGGCCGTTTCTGTTGTGCTAATGACTCGCCCTCGTCAACCAGGCCACTATCCTTTTGCCCAGGCTGGAAATCTCCATGTGAGCCGGCTGCCATTCACTGTATGCGCAGTGCGATTCTGCTGCCATGTTCCAGTACCTAGGAGGTATGCGTCAGCTGAGCCATTACCCAGAGCCATTTACGATTGTTACAAATCTGTGCATTATTGATGCTACGGCGACAGGCTGCCAGAAGCCCCCTCTGCCCCGCTGTACCACATCGCTCTGCAGCCATGCACCCCTAACCAGACACTGCAGAACCCCCCCCCACCGGGCACTTTGTATGGGGCCTCCCAGTTTGGCTGCCCAGTAAGTGCCTGTCCTGATTTACATGTGACCTAAAGACGTTAGAGACACGCCACAGAACCCAACTGGAGTCTTTCTGATTGGCTAGTAAATGAAACCTCAGTTTGAATCCTGCATTCAGGTGGGAGCAAAATGACACTTTCCCCTTAGACTTTCCGAAGCTTTAACTCTAATGTTCAGCAACCCTCTTTCAAAGGGATAACGGGTGTTTACATCTCGCCTCTATTCGCGCATTTTAATTTTCAATTACAGTTTCTATTAAACTAACGGGAAGGTAAATCCATTCGAGAGGCATTCAGCCGTGGTGACTTTGTTTTTTCTTTGTTTGTTTTTTTTTTTAAGTTTTCCCCATACATGGTAATCCAATTGTATTAAAGGTTTAATTGTCTTGGCAACGTTGTAATTGCTTCAAGGAAGTACATCTTACCAAATCAAAAGAACCGCACCACTATTTTGTGGAAACAATACCATCATTAATTACCTCTGAAGCAGCTTCAATCACTCTTTGCAAAACCTAAGAATCTCATAATTGAACAATCGCAGCCTGGACACTTACATTATGTGAAATTAATGGTTTTGCTGTGACTTGATTGTGTCCCTCATGAGGAATAATGATAGAGGGAATTTCCTTGCAAACCAATATATAGACTTCTAGGCTTTTGTTAAAGCTTCGGTGGTCAGTTCTGGCATCATCATAAAAAGCAAAGCGCAGTTCTTTGATAAATAGATTTTGGAAATGAAAACAGCATGTGACCAAACCACTGACAGGCCCGTTCAAAAAAGAGACGTCCAACGAGGGATATTCTTCTCCTCCAACTGTTTCATTCAACCTCGGCTGAAGCAAAATGACAGGAGGACAGAGGCAAAATGGGGCAGCAAATTCGGAGATGTGGGTAGTTTGGTATTCGGATCACGGGCATGTCAGCAAAGCAAGCCCCAGGCTATCGCAGAGGTCCCACTCCGTTACAGTGAGAAGCTCCAGATAGAGGGTATTGAAACTGGCCTATACCATATAAGTCCCTAGAGGTGTATATCACCAAAGCACATTCAAGCAGAACAAAAAGAATGCACCGAGGTGAACTTTGGGACCTAACATAAATCTATTACTACCTATGCAGGACAGCACTATAAAAAACAAATGCACAGCGTCTGTGGAGCGGTAAAGAACCTTATATTCCGTGTCTTTTGTTCCAGTAGAACTCCAAAGGAAGTCTAACGTAGAACATGTGACAGAGCAGATCATGTCATGTCGCCCTTGATCTGATTTAATTGACAGCCCTTCTCAAAGTCTTCTGGCTTACAGTGTGTACAGTGGGGAAACAGCGGGTAAATATCACAAGCAGTAGCAGCACAGCCTAAAATTATAGAATTACTGGTCTTATATGAGGAGCCGGGTTTATATCTGTCACAATTTCAAATTTTGGTTAAAAAAAAAATTACATTTGCTTGGAGATTTCATTACAGCACAATGCTGAATTACACAACAGTAGGCAAGTATTTTTAAAGAAATAACAATACTTAAAAAAGAAATCTGAAAAGTTGTTATTTGGATCATTGATTCAAATTTGCAGCAGATCTTTAGTTATATGCAGAGGAAAAACATTCCGCTTGGGTCTCTTAGCCCGTGTTTTTGAGCGATTGAGATCTAGCTCAAAACGGGGCAGCGTAGCTGAAAAGCGACCGGGCCATCAGCCCTCCAACCATATAAGCTCCTGTGATCTCTGCATGTTCAGGATTGGTAGGGCCACCACCACTGAGAGGCAGAGAAATCTGTTCCAGCGTGTCAATGTGTGAAGAGCACCTTAACCCACTCATGCTGTGTGTCTGGCTCACAGCTATGGGAGAGTAGGATGGCGCCTGGGTTTCAACATACAAATAAAATGAGGAATGATTCTCTCCGTGAGGAGTGTGGGCAGCCGAAAGTTTCACTCCGCAGACATTCAGCCATTTCTCCTGGAGCAGCTCCACATTGGAAATGTGATATGAATACTGTATATGTGAGCTTCACGAAAACTGTCCGGCACTAATTACCTCCCCTTTTACACTCCGCATCGTATTTTGTGCCGTGGAGTTCTGTAGAAACTGGGGAGGTTTTTTTCTTCTTTTTTTCCCGAAAGGTGAAACCTTAAAGTTATAAAGAACAGCATGTTTTTGAACAAAAGGACAAATCCCCCCCACCCCTTTCCGAAAAGCCTTGTTACCACCCCCACTCCTGCCTGGCAGAAGGAGCAGCAGGATGGCAGGATCCTGTCTCCAGAGGTTCTGCTGTTATCATAAGAGGTCCGAGGGAGGCGTAGTATCTGCCCATAGCGGCTCTCACAAGGTGTCCTTATTATTCTCCTCTTCGGCAGCAGAATGTGACACGTCGACGCTCCCTGAAAGCGACGTCGACTCGCCCCGTGTGATATACCGCCTCTCACTACACTACATTGTACAGGATTGACTACATTGTGAGATGTACAGTGAACAGAGCGAGACCCACAATATGGAGTCTGTTCAAGTGGGTAAAATCATTAAAGTGACAGTTAACAGGCTTGTTCTATTAAGCTACTTTTGCAGTATATAGGCTGACACCAGTGATGTGCTAGTTGTAGGTGTTTTTATTCATTATGTTTAATTGAAATACTGTGGGACCGGGAGCTGAAGAGAGGGTGCGTGATGGACAGCCAGGGTAATTCCAATGCATGCTGAAGCATTCTGGTAATGCATTTATTGCCGCCTGTTTCCCTCAACGTTGGTTGTCCAGGGCAGCCACAGCAGCAGAATCAGCCTGTTTGGCTTATGGTACCGTTCCCACCCAACTCTAGTATTGATTAATTGACTTCATAAAGCACTGGGGCGGCACACTTTCCGTCTGCAGTACTCAAGTCCAAAATCCATCCATCTGTGCTCATTTAGCGATGGCATCTTAAGTCGCTCGCCGTTCTTCTCGAGGATTTGCCCTTTAAACCTGTGTTCTTTCAGAAAACTTTGATACGCGCAAATGAAAAGCCGTACCTGCACGCACGTGGCTTTTAATGCCGGCGGCAGACAAAACCACTCTGTTTCTACTGATTTGAATCGGTCAAAGACGAGAAATCGAATGTAATGTTTCTTTAATCCAGCAGAAAGCAAAGCACTAAGCAGTGAACATAAGAGCTTTTTTCATTCTTAAGCATTAGCTATATATTTTAACGCAAATAGCATTAAAGAAAAGCAGTATAAATTTAAGAATTACTACACTTGGTAATGCATTGAGATTTTTGTCAGCATTTTTAGATGTATTTCTGAAGGTCCTAGAGGATTAAGACAGGCGGTTATTAATAGACTTTCATGCTGTTGAAGTAAATAAAGCTGAAATCTTACTCTACATTAGATTATCTGCCAACTCTCAGTAATATCCAGTATGACTATTGTATGTGAATGTAATGCGATACATATATCAATACATTGTGAATTGATTTATTGATAGTCTTAATACTGCATTCTTCCCATGAACAATGTTCATTTTAGAAATTTCTGTGAAAACAGGGTAACACTTTATTTGGATAGCCTGCCTACAGAGGGGTAACAGAGTATTTGTTATACATTTCAAGAACTTAGTTGAGATTCAGCATTTCAGCTGTTTCACTGTGTTTGTAGATGTCTAACATAATATACAGATTATAAAGTCTCTGTATATGTAATGATTCATGAACATGCCTACATGTTCCTAGAATAATTTAATTGAATTTGACAACTCACTCAACCGATATATAGTATGAATTTTTGAATCTCAACTAAGTTGGTGAAATGTTATAAATACTCTGTACACAGACTGTCCAAAAAATGTGCAACCAAAAATAGTACCAAAATAAAGATAAGCTATCTAAAAAGTAATAATTTCATTGTATACTAAGTGAGTACTTTTTTAGGTACACCTGCCTGTTAACAAAAACAGCCTGCCCCCTCAAACCACAAATGGTGTGGTTTGATTTAGTACCAGCCATGGTACCATGTTTGGCAGAAAGAGCCACCATCCTGGGATTTTCAAGTACTTGTCTCTAGAGTTTACGGAGAATAAAGTAATAAGCAGAAACATCCAATCAGTGTTGCTTCTGTTTTTGAAAACACCTTGTTAATGAGGGAGATCAGGGGAGAAATAGACCAGACTCATTAAAGCTAACAGCTCAGTACAATAGCTATGTGCAGAAAAGCTTCTCTGAGGACACGATTCATCTACCGTTGAACTGGTTGGGAGACAAGAGGGGGTCCTACCTGGTACCACTTAGGGGAACCTAACAAAGTGGCAATAGAGTATATTTTGAAAACACTGAGGCGATACTGAACAGGTGATATTTAACTGTGTGGATTTACAGAAGTTTGGGAAACTCTGGAAGAGCTACAGTGTGGAATACAGTATATTCTGCCCATATATTTCTAGATACTTTGCCTGAGTATTTTATAGAAAACTGGGATAATTAGTCCACTCATTAAGACTGTTTTTAAATTTAAAGATTTAGTTTCTTAATAGAATAAGAGCATTTTGTGATGTTTTTTGGTCAACAAGAATAATTACATTGGAAACACATTAGCATAAACTTTCAAAAAAGTGTGTTTAAAAAGATACATCAAGGATGTTCATTTCGTATCGATCATTTACCATACTTGCACTGGTAATTAGACCGCAAGTGGTCTGATGGGGTTGCATTGTGGGAATTGTGGTCTATACAGCTTAGCGTCTGAGCCTTATCCTTCTTAAATGAGAAAAACAAGTAAATCAACTGTCTGTTTCTGTTAACCTCCCTGGGGATGCCAAGCGGACGCCTTCAGAAACTGTAGCTGCACTTTGTACTCAACATTCACAAGTACCTCCTGTTGGGCATTTGAAAATCAGGCCACTTATGCAAACAGCAATTGCCACTGGCCGCATCACTCTTGTTTACAAGATGTAATTTCTATACACGGATGTCTACGTGTTTATTTTGCTCTTCGAGGAAAAGATGTTCATGGGTAGCACCGCAACTGGGAGCCTTCAGTATCTTACTGGAATGTTACAGCTCAATGTAATGCGCCTGATTAATCTATCACAAAGCTGGTAATTAATTCAATTTTTTTAAGTCAATAAATATTGACTTATGTCAGTTTTTAACAGAAAGACTGACCTCAGAACTGCATTTGAATTGTTTCCCCTTCCTTATGTTCATTCATTAACCTGCACAGCTACTTGAGTGAAACATCATGCCCCTGCAGTAATTCTGTCATGTCCTTCTTGTAGAATTGCTTTTAATTTCCTTTTAATTGTAACCCGGTTTTTCGCAGTAAACCCGGTCCGGTTCTCCTGACTTTTTTTCTTGACTTGCTTAGGCATTGAATGATCTGCCAGGCAGTATGTGAGAGGCGACGGTATTTCAGCTTCACACCTGCAGGTTCAAGGTCTTAATCTCTGCCCTGTGTGTGCGTGGAGTTTGCATGCAGGTTTCTACCGGGTGCATGAATACATGCTCATGGGAGCTTTACTTACACAAAACTCTTCTGGGGGCTGAAGGAAACATGACTGGTTCAGAGAGATAACCAATCAGGTTGTAAAGGAGGTGGGTCCAAGCACCTAGAAGAGATGGGACCAACCAATCAGATGTCTTGGTTCTGCCTCTTCCAGTTGCTTGGACCCACGTCCTCTGCAATCTAATTGTAGGCTGTAATTTTTTTTTTACTGTTTTAAAACAGTATAGGACAACTAACTTTCTACCTGCATATTAGCACCAGGATTTTTTGTACCACAGCACTACACAAACCTCTGAAGCTCTAGAAAAAAATGTGTATTTCTTGAACTATTTGAAGGTATCTGTTGCATTGAAGATATCTATAAATATTTCAAGATATGTTTGAGAACTATACATTTTAATTTTCTAAATAAATATATCGTGTAGTGCAAGCTAACAAAAAATATCTGGTGTACAGGTACTATAATATCGCATCCGCTAACCCCTGCTCTCTCTTTCTCTCTCTGTCTCTCTCCCTCTTCCCCTTCCTCCCCCAACGCAGCGCTCAAAAATAGCCGTTTATGAAAAAATGTGGTCATATATGAAATCAGCAGAACCCTCTGTCTTTGCCAAGACAACACCTGATGGGGTTGCCCGGGTACGAAAGTCGAAGGGCAAGTTCGCCTTCCTCCTCGAATCCACCATGAACGAGTACATTGAGCAGCGGAAGCCATGTGATACGATGAAAGTGGGCGGCAATCTCGACTCTAAGGGCTATGGTGTGGCGACTCCCAAAGGCTCGGCATTAAGGTGGGTGGAATAAAATAACAATATTCTCTATGTTGTTATAGTATTCCACCTACCCTGATGTCCTGTGTTGTCATTTCTCTTCTTCCACTTTTTTATGGTTTTTATTTTTGTTTTTTTGTGGAGTGGATTCCAAGAGGTAATATATATATATATGTGTGTCTATGACTGTGCCTGGACACCCAGGACGATTTCTCTCATTATTTAATTTTGATACATTTCTAAATTTAGAAGCTCAGATCTCGTAAACTAGAGGTAGATTTACAGCCATTCCATGTGCGTCTCTCTCCTCCTTGTCCTCCACTTCCCTGTGTCTTCCCCCTCCCCCGTCCTGTGTGCCGTCCTTCCTGATTCTCTGTTGTCACTTTTAATTTAACAGCTCAACGGTTTTTCAATTTAACTTGTAAAAGCTGCGCTGTCAGTTGTGACGAATGTTAATTGCATGGTGTTTGTTGTTACTTTCTTCTCAATGACGAGTGTCCCCATCCCGCACAATTCACTTATAAACAGTGTATCCCTCCATGCCACCTTTCCAATATTTAACGCTTTCTTTGCTGTACGAGCGTCTCCTATCTCTCATATCCGTACAATTTTTACCAATTTGTCCTTTCGTGCTCTTTTTAATGATCATTCTGATATTATTAATATTTTATCACTATGATTATTCATTATTACTACATACTATATTAGATTTCTCACGGACCTGTGCATTTTTTCTTACAAGTTATGTTTTATCGTTTCAAGAAATGCTGTTAACCTGGCAGTGTTAAAACTGAACGAGCAGGGCCTCTTGGACAAATTGAAAAACAAATGGTGGTACGACAAGGGAGAGTGCGGCAGCGGGGGAGGTGACTCCAAGGTCAGCCTCAATGTCACCAAAATCGGGTACTTTAGAGCAGAGTAATCGGCAAGGCTGTCATTACCTGAACCAAATGGAAAAAATCCACCCTGTACAATCCAGCACAGTATTTTCTAGTGGCCTTCCCAGGGAATTGAGCAAAAGAGATCAAACCAGGAACCCTTACTTGGTTAAGGGAGGAGAAATTCAGAACCAGTAACATTTTAGACTTACTGACGAGAAAAGTTTGCCACCATTATCCACGGTAACTAAAGCATGGCAGGGGCCGATTAAGGCAAGAGTACATATTGCCGTTATTGATCCAGCAAGTCATCATGTCTTTCGAGCGGATAGAAATGTTACTTTTATTGGCTGGTGTTGCAGGATGCCTGTGGCAAATAAGACTGTCCTGCAGGTGTGGAAGGCAGCAACTGAATTTGGTTGAACCTTTATCATCTGCAGGGCAATGGTCATTTAGGGCCCAGTTGTACTTTCGTAATTTTCACTCCCTGTTTATCTTGCAAAAGGCAGCAGAAAGCCATGTTCTGCAGCCCTTGACTAAGTCTCGCTCAGCAGATTGCCAGTTTGAGATGCAATAGTTAGTAGTTGCCTAGGAGGCAAACGTTATGTGATAGATCATAGACATTCGATTACAAGTGAAAAATAGCCAAAAGGCACTACAGACAGACCTAGAAATAATTCTGAATGTTGTATCATAGATAAACCCCCCCCCCCAAAAAAAAAAAAAAACATGTAGATGAGTTCCAGATTAGTTTGTTATTTTATGCAGAGAAGAGATCGGATGTTTGGAAATGTGACTGGTCTTTGCGGACAAGACTCTAATGTGCCACCAGAGCAGTTTAGGTGCAGGAAAGCGAGGCAAGCAGCGGAGTCTTGAGGGGACGAAACATTGCAGGAATACGTGAGAATTCTAATCAACCAAAAAAAAAGCTACACCCACCACTGATCCAGACAGCCTCCTGGTTGGTCTTTGGTGAAAAACCTCACTTGATTTTTTTATTTCAGAGACAACGCCGTTCTCAAGCCCAGTTTCCAACTGCAGCTATAACCTCCAGCATCTTTCCTTTTTGACTCACAAACTGCACTTAACATTCGGCAAAAGTCAAGGCAACTGATTTTGCCATTCCTGTCTAAAGTCATTCAATCCTGACAGTAAGCAGGAGATGAATGCTGTTAGTAAAGGAATGCAAAGCAGTTACCTTGTTTCTCAATAATCTGCCAAGGATTTTTGAGCAGAACGAAGGGACAAGCTTGCAATATTATGGTATCATGTCTTGACTGCTAAATTTCTTTTTTTTTCTTAAGAGGAAAAACATTCTATTAGTTGATAGCTAGTGAAAATCTTACTTGGAAATTGAAAAAAAAAATGGTGTTCCTTCTCTCGAGGCAGATTCTTTGTTCCATTCAAATTAGAAGATTAACACAATGAAGGTAATTACTGTCAACGAAAAGACTTAACATTCTTACATTAGCATGTGATCTACTTTATCAATAGAAAAAAATCATGAATATTACGAATATACCCCATTTAGCCAAAAAATTAACTAATCAAACATTTTCAACCAACTGCAATTTTTTTTCTTGGGAAATTGCTTTCTAGAAAATGATTATTTCCTAAAGTAAATATTTGATGTGCAGAAATTATTATTATTATCATGATCATTAATGTGGTCAGTTAAGCATAATAATGTTAAAGTACTGAAATTCAATACCAAAAAGAAAATGCAATAGAATGTGAAAATTATACCACATCTGAGTTGAAAACAGTAAAGGACAACGCTCATTTCTGTTTCTGAGGTATGGATTCAATTCATTTATACGCAGTTACTAAAAGTCAAGGCTTAATATACATCAAATTCCAAAGGCCAGTTTTTGGTGTCTGAAACAAATGAAAACTCACTAATCTAGCATGTTCAATAGATGCAATTGTGAGGTAAAAAAGTAATGAAGACATTAAAGAGAAGGTTAAGGTTATTATGTCACAACTCATTATAAGACCAATTAGAGTTGCAATATAAGTAGAATTATGTATGGATTATAATTTAAAATCAGCTACATTTGGTGTACCCAGAAAGATATTGGTTAATTGTTAAGCCCCATGACCCCAGTATTTCTATTTTGTGAAAACAAAATATATATATATGAACACACACATACCCCTATTAAAACACTCAGCCAGTAATGTCACATCTGCATATTGTTCTTATTGAGTGTAGAATTAACAAAGGCTGGATTATCATGTAGCAGCTGTTTTGTTCCAGGTCTGTTTTCAGCTATATTCTTGACGAATTCCGGAGTCCTTCTGCTTTAGCAAGTGTGTTTTCCAGAGCTGTTTTCATTCCCTGCACTGTTGTGGACGAACTAGCTGTGGAGATATTCCGCTTCAGCGTTTCAAAACGAGAGATTACGGCGTCTGATGCTATCTTTCCGCCCACTGTCTACCCCCATTACTGTCAGCTCACCATAATTGTATTATTTTAAATGTCATTTATCCAAGGCATTGGATTGCCAAGGGAGTGTTTGTTGGTATGTTGATTGGTAAAATTTCTATGGAAATCAATGGTTGATATTTTTCATTTAAATGTAGAAGTACAAAATTATATAGTTTCCTAAACACAACCTCTTCAATAAGGTTCATAATAGATTTTTCAGTGGGGCATTGTAGTCAGTTGTTCCTGACATTTTTACAGGTTAGTCAATCACACAATGCTAGACCAGGGGTTCTTAATTTAACCTGGAATGCTAGCTACTGCTTTTTAAGGATAGTCATGTATTATAAATGGGGACAGCTCAGAAAACCTTTTAAAGCCACTGGCAATCGCAATACATAGCAATTGTCTTTTAACACACTGACAGAATACATTAAAATCAATCTATAAAATCCTTTACAGTCCAGCATTCTGAAGAATTAATCATTTAATAAGCTGCCATTTATGTATTCGTAAAATACCAATGCATGAAAAACAATAAAATAGTTATATTATTGTAAAATTATATTAAAAGTAAATGTTTCCACAGATTCTGACCTTAGCTTGAAATTTCCCACAGTAAACTGGAATTCATTGACCCTGGTCGCAGTGCTAGTAACAGTATGCAATTGGTCAGACGGGTCGCGTCCCTAGCATGTACCGGCCAAACACGTCCCTAACATGTACCGTCAGCACACTTCAGAAGCACCTCCGCTCTGCTCCCACCCTATTTTTAAAAACCTTCCAGACATTCTCCATTCATCAGCAGAACACAACGTAGGGCAGCTGTCAGATGTGAACAAACTGTGTCTTTCAGCTGTCAGCCAGTGACACGGTGACAGTTATTTCCCTGTAAGAAAAAAAAAAAAAAAAATGCAGCTCACCTGTGACACTTGTGAGATCACTAATCTCTTTAGCCATTCATTCTGGTGCAACTGAGCATGTCTCACCAAAACAGAACTGCAGATGTTTTCCATTCTATGAAAAATGAAGAGAAATTTAGCAGTCGCAATGGTAGCATAATATCTTGCAGGACAAAAGACTTCCAGGGCAATCTGGAGTTGAGCTGGGTCTTTTACTGCCATGCAAGTGAGCCTGCCCGCATACAGCTGGCCAGACAGGGAGTTCTGAGCCTTGCCTCTGCTGAAGGGCACTTGGCGCACTCATGTGCCCCGTCTGCATTCAGCACATTACAAAATAAGCAGAGCCGAGGAGAGAATCAAAAGACAGTAATCACTCCCTGAATGGTAAAATACCCTGCTTCCCCACAGGACAGTGAAGATCAGTCCCCCAAGTTGTCTGCACTGTGGCATACTTGCGGTACAATTTCCTTGCTTTCATATCTTGGATGAAAAAAGTTATCTGATGCAAGTCAAGGTAACCAGATAATCTGAGTCGAGGATGTTACACGGGAAACAGGAGTCGCACATTTTCTGCAGGGTTTCCTTCTCGAGACAGTGGCTGCCATTCTCCTCAGCTAGTATAAAATCCAACTGGTGACTTTTGCTTTTCTATTAGTCAAGAAAGGGTTCCAGTTAGATCGAACTTGCTAAGTTCTGATTTGAGAAGCTAACTGTACCGTAAACTGCATTCCCTTTGTTTTGTTTATAGTTTCACAGCTTCTATTCCAACAGCCAACCTTTTTTTATAATGTTTTTACAGTGTATGCCGATTACTCAAAGCGATATGGGTAGGCCCTGGCACTATAGCCTAGCCATGGTGGAACAGAGGTAAAAACGTAGTATGTCTGCACTCTATGATGTTTACATTGGCCAGGAGCCCTGCTTTATCGCTTTGTTAAGTATGAAGTAGTAGTAAAAGCTTGAATAACATAAAATAACATAATATAATGTTATTTATGTTATTTCCCACGTGAAGAACTCCTGTAAACCTTGCAGTATTGAAACTCAGTGAACAAGGCATCTTAGACAAGCTGAAAAACAAATGGTGGTACGATAAGGGTGAATGTGGAACCAAGGACTCTGGAAGTAAGGTCAGTCGCTGCAGGTCTTTTGTACTGATTCCAAATTGCATTTTGACCTATTGTTCATATGCAAAGGAAAAACTATTCAGTTTTTCTTACCTGTTACTTGATTGTTTTTTTCTAAGAAAAACTAAACCTATAGTTGCTTAATGATTGTTTTTTTTTGCAACAAATGTGCAGAATTTTTATATAGCATACAAATTGCACTAGACATATTTTTGATTGTTTGATTACTATAAATAACATTATCTTATTATTCCCCACAGTAAAGGTGAAATATATCACACGTAGAATGTTATACTAACATAAGCATGAGTGGGGAATTTATATTAAGCACAAGATGCATTTTTACTTTTTATAGTTTTATTAGTAGAATATATACTATTTTTTGCATATTTTAAACTTATTATAATCTAACCATTATGCTGCTGTTTCTATTTACCAAACTTTTTATTAAAATTTTATTTACGGGCGTTTTACTTGTTTGCATGGGAAAACTGGGTATATTAGATTATTTAGCATCATGCAGTGTGGATAGCAAACAAAGTTTCTTTTTCTGACAAGCTATTTCAAGCTCACTTCCCAACACAACCGAAGCAATCGGCGATGCTGAGAAGTCGTGCTTGAACAAGCACTGTCAAAATGAAACATTGTTTGCACACTATATGAAGCCAAGCAATGTAATAAACCTATAACTTAACCCTCTGAGAGTAATAGATATCCAGTAGACCACACAAGTATAAATTAAGGGCTTTCTGCCATCATCACCAAGCCCTGCAGTAACACATATAAGACCTCGGCGCTCATAGGGTTAAAGTGCAAATGGTAAAACTCTTATAAACAAATTTTTAATAAAGAAGTTCGGGAGGTAGCAGCAGCAAAATGGTTTGTTTTTTTACAAAAACAATTTTAAGCTTGCTTTTTACTTATTTAATAATGAATTAAAGCTTAATTAGATTTTTGCATACCCAGATAGTTCTGCAAGTGCTAAATTGCAATGGTTGTTAAGTCAGAGCTTGTCAGAGTTTTGACCTGTAAGTTACTGACCATCTTCCTCAAAGTGGCGTATTTAACTGAGCCACAAAACAGAAGAGATTTAATGCATCCTCTACATTCACCGATCTATCTGAAGAGTGGCCTGACTACATTGGTCTTAAGTTTCTCCAAACTTTTGACACGTGTAGGAAAGGCACATAGTGGCATAGTATTTACAAAGCCACTTTAGTCACTTTTACTTCCAAACCCTTTTTAAAACTAATTCCTGCACATGTTCTGTTGCGTAAACCTTTGGTGCCACTGTAACACGGAATATACCACTGGTAGCACCAGAAACATTGCTTCAGGGAGGGTTTGAGGCTATTTGATAAAGCAGGAACCAACAGCAAGATGAGGTGTCTGCATTTGAGTGCCAGTCTTGGCTGGGATTTGAATCAGAAGCCTTTGGAGAGCAGCTAGGAAGTTGAGCTTGTTAGACATTAGCACAGTTGTGATAGGTTCATTGTCCTCAAAAAGCAAGTTTCACTGCAAAACCTCTAACTGTGTCTTTCACTCTTCTTAGGACAAGACAAGTGCTCTGAGCCTGAGTAATGTAGCAGGAGTCTTCTATATTCTGGTCGGAGGTCTGGGGCTGGCTATGATGGTGGCTTTGATAGAATTCTGCTACAAGTCTCGTGCAGAAACCAAAAGACTGAAACTAGCCAAGAATGCCCAAAACTTTAAGCCAGCTCCGCCAGCAAACACGCAGAATTTTGCCACATACCGAGAGGGCTACAATGTGTATGGAACCGAGAGTGTTAAAATCTAAAGGGTAGGGGCTCAGAGACAAGACCAACTCTTTTAATTATCCAGCGTTTTCAAATGTACCAAATTTTTATTGATTTAAATCTTGTCTGTCTTCGTTATGTAATTTGACCTCGCCCTGTCACTCCAGTACGGTCATGCATAAAATTGAATTTAACACTGATATATTTTATATGTTTTAAGACTGATTGCAAAAACATGTTAGGCACATACATAGTATAATGTATTCCCAGTATTCAGTACAAGGGATTTACTTTGGAGAAATTGTGACAAACGTAACATTTTGACATGATATTTTCATTTTATCAAATGAGAGGTTATTAATCCCAATCCTCAAGACAAACTGCATGCTGTTGCCTGAGCTACTGGGGCCTGTAAATGCTGCTTCAGTCAGTATATATTATACACTCTATCTAGTGTGAACATGAATTGTAGATTATCTTCAGATAATTTAGCTTTGCAGGTCTGCCCCTGAGGCAGGGACTGGCCTACCCTGCCCTAGACGTTTTTGCCCAGCACTGCAATACTGATATCTTGATTATTGACAGATTTTGCTCTTTTCATCTAGCACAGCTGGAAGGAGTCAGAACAGCTCGGAGTGAACCTGACACTGATGACCGGACAGTTTGACGCGATGAATAAGTCAGGGGCCTGGAAACCCGCCGGGCTCAGCAAGCGCTAGCTTCATAGCGGAGGGCATAATGAGTGAAAAGGACTTGTCATTTAAAGAACTGAATTTGTTTCCTTCAGTGCCTTATAGAACATTCAGAACGTCACAACAATGCAACTCGTCATAGTAATATTGCTTTGCTTGAAATACAAAAGAAAAAAAAAGGAGCAATGGTATCATAATCTAACAAATGAGCCTTCGGTAGATACTCTCACTAAAGAAAAAGCCATCAGTCACAACCCTAGCACATACGGAAGACCCTGACATAGCAGAATTCACCAGGCAATGGATGGTACTATAGTCATATATAAAGAAATATTATTTTAAATGTCGTGATTGATTTACAGCCAGATTGTATTGGTTGGGTATAATTTAAATGTCTTACAAATCCATGTAATCAATTCATTATCAATTCATTTAAAGTAGCCCTGATGCTAGTATTTACAAGAAATGATTTGTTGACTCATTTTGTTTTGATTCTAAGGACAGAAAAGTTTTGTTCCCCACTGAAGCAAATTAATGGACATTATTTTCACCACGAGTCATCCATTGGGTGGTTGCGTTGGCATTCTGAATTCTGGTGCTGTTGGTGACTCAGTACTTTATCATAAATTGAGGGCCTGTGAACTACCCAAGGTCAATGATAAAAGCACCATTCAGCATAGGGCAAAAGGCCGCATGTGACAAAATCTACTGCCAACGGATTTCTCTCTCAGATATGAGCAATTTGCAAATCATATATGGAGTCAGGTTGAAGCTTATATTAACTGTGAATTGAACATACACTAACACAAATCACAAGCATACGGTACAAGATATTTCTAGATATCTGGAAGAGATACACAGATATACTGTATATGTATACACTTCTGCATAATACACCACTACAACATGGGTTTTAGGGTAACATCTGAAACCTTGGTGGCTTTTTTAAAATGATTTGTCCAAGTATACGGCCTGAAGCGTGAAAACGGAATCACTCGATTGTAGATACACTGCAATTATTTAAAAAGACTAACGGTAACAGCTTTGAAAATGGTATTTTGGATTACCTTCAATATTTTGTGAAATGATAGCACATTTTCAATCAAGCTGTGGTTTAATTTTGGTTTTGTTTTACTTTGTAGGCATACTGTTTTGTGGATAACTTAAGAAATGAAAAAAATAGTAAATTAAAATGGGAAGTACTGTATATGTTACCCTATGGTCAATATAGGGGCAATTTTTAAACTAAAGCTTAGCAAACGTCCATTTAATGCTGTTACAATTCTTTTACTTTCTCTAAGAAATGTGATTATGTAGTATTTGAGACATGCCAAGAAGGATTTCATTGAAAAAGCAAAAGATTACAATAGTTTTATATAAAATAAAACTGTAAAAAAAAAAAAAAAAAACTGTAAAGAAACCTGTACATTTATTTAAAGTCAATTTATGAATGCAAAGAGGCTTCACTAAATTTTGGTTTTTCAATTTTTCAGACTGCATGTAAAATTGGTAATTGCCTATCAAGGCCTGAGACTTTGCTCAGACAGTTAGGAGATCAGTGGTAGAAGCATAACTTCTCTTTCTATTATTTGACCCTCCCTTCCCTTGTTGTCTGACTGCAATCAAAAATTGCCAAGCAACCTACCAATTACAAAAGAATAAGAACTGCATGTGTGGGTGTAATTTACTGAACCTCAGCAGTGAGGCGCTGTACAAAGAATTTTAATACATTTTTGTAAATAAAACTGTATAGAAATTATTGTCTCATGCGTTATGACTAATTTCACAACAAACTATGACAAGTTATTTCTGAGGAATATGTTTTTGTTTTTTTTTGTTTGCCGCAATGCGTTGTGGAGGCATTTTCTGTTCAGGGACTATTCCAAATGAAGCAGGTAATATAGGGATTAAAAGCAGCACTAAAAGTGAAAAAGAAAAACACAAAAATTGCTTTCTTTTAACCCACCTTATAAATACTGTTGCCAGGCACCACACTTTTTAAATGATTTATGTGACAAGTAAGCATCTTATTGCCTTTTTTGATTATTTTGATAACCTAAATTCAAACCTTGTTAACTCCACTGAGAGAAATTCATGAATCGTCACTGTTGAATCAAAAACATGTTTCTCCAAAAATCCATTATTTCTGGAGTGGCAAAAAAAAACAAATTTTCTAGAAACTACTTTGCAAAATAAAACAACATAATGAGACACCCTTAGCACCATAAATAGAGACCTATCCTTACACAGCCATCAGTGACAGTGTTTTTAATGTATTTTTGTGGATTATCAGTAAGGTCCATATGTGACTGTCTACAAGTTGACTAATCTCATTTTATATTCACGATTATCATCGATGTTAACTATCTAAATTACATTGTTAAAATGAGTGAATAAAGTAATCCATACAGACAACCATCTTAAATACAAATATTAAATAGTACAAACATAAAGTCTACTTAAATAGATAATCTTTTAATTGGTCAATTAGATGTACACTATCAGTAGACACAGTAGAGAGTGTTCTATGTATAATTAAAAAAAAAATCAGAATTGTCGAAAAGTCGATGTGTTTTTTTCACTGGACAGTGACAAAATATTACCATGGGAACTTAATTACACACTATCAGTGGAATAGAAAGAAACATCTCAACATTTTTTGAACAAGCTACTGTAGTGTAAAAGTCGTCCGAAGGGCAACTACTGAACTGTACAGAAAAAAACAAACATTAATGGAAGAACTACCTGAAAGGGGGTTAGTTATTGACAAGTTTGCCGATTAGCGGAGCAAAATAACACTGTTATTCTGTGGAAAATGAAAGATCAATGTAGTCCAGATTTAAAAATGGATTATAAATATGTTGTGGGCCAGTACTTTTGTGACTTCTATGTGATGAATGACCCGGCAAATTCTCTCGTCCTCCACTTGAGTGGAGGTTCAGCACAATCATTTCTATTATTTTAGTAGTTGTGTCTTTAGCTCAGGTGCAATTAACTTAGAATATTGTTAAAGTTTTAATCTCAGTCAACAATATTGGCCAAGACTGTCACATTGGACTCAAATGGTATCTTGATTTTTAACAAATAAGACTTTATTCTTATTGTAATTATACAACAAGACTTTGGTAGTGCAATATCGATATGTTAACCGATATGTCTTGCATCTCTAAGTCTAACACTACTTTTTACTTAGAGTCTTGACTATTCCTTCTGTAGCTAGCAAAAAGAATGGCTTTTTGCACTACGAAAGGCAAGCATTTACCAAAATCATTGTAGCTCAAATATCATCTTAACCACTACAAGAGAGCATTTTCCACTATAAAACAGATACGTTTCCCAAAAGCATCACAATGCAAAGATAATTCAATTTATTTTTATATAGCAGCTTTCACGACAGAGTCGTCCCAAGACGCTTTACATGGATGTGTTGTGATACATTGCAAAATCAATAGAGAGTGATAAAGAACGGGTGAAAAGGAAGGAAATTAAATTTAAAAAGCCAAATGACAACAGAGGAGAGGAACCAAAAACTTCCAAGTAGGACGAAAAACCTCTGGAGGTCCAAGGTCAACTGGCTGTCCATCGATGCGTCTGTTATCCACGTTGGCCTGTGTAGGGTGACCAAAGTCCATCAATCAGTCCGCTTTCCATGCTATAGAGTGCTGGGTGCCATTGAAGGCTGCACCCACAATGATACAGTTCATAGGTCCTATTTGCGATGCTAGGAACCAAACCAGGACTCCAGATCAGATGGTGCCCACCCCGGGCACCACCCAGACATGTGGGAAGGCAGAGAGCATGGATGGTCAGAACATGCATTGACACATTAATAGACAAGCATAGTAGATAAAAAAATAGCATGTACAGCAGCACCAGCAGCCATAGTTACGGTGTGTTATGTGTTAGGTTGCGGGTAAGCTAAACTGAAGTAATAGGTCTTCAGTTATGATTTAAAGACTGAGGACGAACCAGCATCCCGAACATAGGCTGGTCAACCATTCCACAATATAGGGACCCTGTAGCAGAATGCTTTACCTCCCACTGTCACTTTACTTATATGTGGAACGACAAGGAAACCTGCATTCTGTGATCTGAGTGGACGATGCGGCTTTTAAACGAAGTAATTCTGTCAGGTAGGCAGGAGCTAGACCTTTAAGTGCCTTATATGTAAGTAGGAGAACTTTGAAGTCAGCTCTAAACCTAACAGGAAGCCAATGCAGGGAACTAATCACCATAGCATTTCCTTCATGAATATTAATGAATCTTCCTTTGCCATCTAACATTTCAGAAATTTGCGTGCAGGCACGTGAAGACACAAGCTCACAACCCGGAAGTGGCAATATCTTTATTTTTCTGCCAAAAATCAATTCTGATGTAAAAAGATCAATGCATTGAATCACCACCTTAATAATCAATTCATTTCAATGTATGTGTACATCCTTATTATACCCTAGTATAACTTTTTTAATGAAAAGAAACATGTAGTAAGTAAGTAAAGAGAATGCATTTTATAGGAAGAAGTATGCACTGAAGTATACATTGATGAGCATATAACTGTGCAGTGAATAATGTTGACAATACGTGTTGAACACATATTGAAAAACGTGTGTCAATGTCTGAGATATTAGATGGAAAGCTAACATTCAGGACTAATAGTCAAGATATTGAATGCCGAATACATTTGCAAGAATATAGATCTAAATGACTTTGACAAGGGCCTAATCATTAAGGTCAGACAACTGGGTCAGAGGGTTGTGGGGTGCTCATGGTCAGCCTTATAAAGGACCTCCTGGGGGTGGTCTGAGGAAGGAAAAACCAGGAACCAGCGACAGGGTGATGGGCAGCTAAGGCCCATTGATGTGAGATGTGAATGAAGGCTATTCCATGTGTTGCAAACCATCAGAAGGGCTACTGTGGTACAAATGGCAGATCATTTTGACGATGATCATGGGAGTAATGTGTCATAACGCACAGTGCCGGAGCCCGAACAGGGGCTACATACAGTACCTGTGGATCCACCACATCCCACAGGTGTTTGACATGTATCCAGCCGTCCACATGATGCAACAAGAAACAGAATTCATTGGACCATGTGGCCTTCTTCCCTTGCTCCAAGGTTCAGTTGCGGCACTTTTCATAGTGAAAAGGGGTAAGCGTGGGCACCCCGACTAGCCTGCAGCTACATAGCCCCATACGCAGCCGGGCTTGATGCCTTTTGTGTCGTGACACATTATTCCCCTGACCTTCTGTTTTGTGCTTTCGTTTACATTCTGCATCAATGAATAGTGGCCACCCAACACTTTCAGTGGTTCATAGCTATAAATAAAAGGGGGAATGGAAGTAAGCCTCCCATAATCTGAATGGGAATAAACAGCAAACATATATTACAGTATAGATACATACCAAATCTTGTGTGCGGAGTTTGCATGTTCTCCCCATGTCATTGTGGGGTTTCCTCCAGGTACTCCAGTTTCCCCCCCACAGTCCAAATACATACTGAGGTTAAATTCTCTGTAGGTGTGAATGGTGTGTGAATGTGCCCTGTGATGGGTTGGCGCCCCATCCTGGGTAGTTCCCTGCCTTCCGCCCGCAGTCTTTGGGATAGTCTCCGGGACCTACCCCCCATGACCCTGAGCAGGACAAACGGTTACAGATGGATGGATGGAGATCCAAAGGGGTAATGTTAAATCAGAGATGGTGTGTGTATCTTCAATCGCGATGTATCATCTACAAGTCAGGGGACAGTTTATCGACAGTCATGAAGATAAATTTAACTGTGATATGTGGTGTAAGCGAAAGGTTGATAGATATCAGGACAATGAATGTAAATCAAATGTGTCCACAAGAAATATCTAGGAATTAATAACTAAGCATGAGAACAAATTAGAAATCCTTATCAAGAGAAATTGAATTAAGCTGTGTTTTCATATGCAAAGCCAGTCAAGAAGTTGAGATTAATGGTTTTCGAAACATTCAGATATTTGACTAGATATTTACTTGTTTTCTGCTCCTTTTCAACCATATTTTTGTTTGTGTCTACGCCACTGTGAATTTATACCCTAAATGTGAAAAGAAAAATATTCATCAGATTCCTCAAGATAACAGAAAAATTGTCTATCCCATGCCAGTACTCATGTTTTCTAAAATACACCTATTGCTAGTATTGCTACTATCAGTCCCCATACTGATATTCAGTGCCCGACCCTGAAGGTAAAATTCGCTGAACAGGTGGTGATGCTGAGATCTGCCAATCGGTGGCTCTGCCCGGCATTAGTTCATGTTTTGCTCCCGTTAATAATGCAATTTAAATTACCAGGTAAAACAACAATTCAGTATTTTAACAATAGAATTGATTCTCAAATTGAAAACATTCAGATCAAAAGAATCAATATTTCAGTATCAACCTGCATACAGGCCACTGCACCAATTCCCAAAGGTCAGACCAGAGAATCCACTTCCCTAGTTAAAAATACTTTAATTTAAATACAGTGTCTTTATTAATGCATTGACAGATTATATAGATCATACAGTGTTAGGAAATGTGAAGAAATTATTTGAGTATTCATCTACAGACCTTCTAACTAGCCATCCTTGTCAGGGTAGCAAGGAGATGGGCTCACTAGCAGATAAAAATGAACACCATTTCAACGAGTCTCCATACTGGCCAGAACACTGAATGGTGTCATTTGCAGAATAACTGGATTGACATTTTTGCAAAAAAAAAATTTTTTTCAATGTTGACCCCCTTACATAGAGT